AATCAAAACTACATTGAGATACCATCTCACGCCGGTAAGAATGGCGAACATTAAAAAATCTGGAGACAGCAGATGCTGGAGAGGATGTGGAGAAGTAGGCATTCGATATTCTTCATTTCTTTTGCAGTTAGAAACTCATTGTCTCCTGTAACTAAAACAGTTGAGAAAGTTGTTAGTTTATGTAAAGCCTTGAAATAACATTTTAATTCTCAAGAAAAGATTCCAAAATTTATTTACTTTAAAAATCCATTGAGTAAAGTTTTTTGTTAATAGTTTTTTTTTTTCACTAGGAAACAAATATTTTATTCCTTTTTTCTGTTGAGAGGATAGATTGTGAGACAGAGAACAACAGTCTGGCCACAGAGGCTCGGTTTGGTTGATTTCCACAGGCATGTGGAGGACAGGAAGGGCAGGATCTTGTTTGAGCTCCCACTCTCATCACGACCTTTGACCTCTTCCTGTACCCTCTGCAGCAGTGCTGCATGGAGCCTACTGGATCTCTAGCCTACCTCACTCACCTCTCTGACCACTGACAGGCAGTGCAAAGGATGCAGGAGTTGTCTCTACTGACCACGGAGACATGAGCAGAGAAGCAAAGGCCCCTTACTCTCCCTCTGCCCATTCCAGTGTGCTGGCTGCAACAGAATGGGAATCCTTCAGTCATCGCCTGCTGCAGACTCAACTTCAGGGATGGGAGCCTGTGTCCAGAAAACTTGGGCTGTAAATTGAAATCTCAGAAGCAGGAAGGTTGGAGAGTGATAGGGTACCAGAGCTCTGGGGTTACTGCTGAGAAGATATGCAAGGGCTACATTCCCCAGGGGCAGATTAGAAGCCCTGGGTCAAGGCTGGGCACAGTAGCTCACATCTGTAATCCCAGCATTTTGGGAGTCCAAGACAGATGGATTATTGAACTTAGGAGTTTTAGACCAGCCTGGTAAACATGGCAAAACCCCATCTTTACTAAAAATACAAAAATTAGCTGGGTGTGGTGTTGTGTGCCTGTAGTCCCAGCTACTCAGGAGAGCCAGGCACAAGAATTCCTTGAACCCAGGTTGCAGTTAGCTGAGATGGCTTGGGTGACAGAGTGGGACTCTGGGCAAAAAAAAAAAAAAAAAAAAAAAAAAAAAAAAAAAGGCAGCCCTGGGCCTGGAATCCCTGGGTGCTCTGTGAAGGGGCAGGGCAGATGGGGACTCCCTGGGGCTTTCCCAGGGAGGAAAATAACCATGGACGACTGTAGTAGCGTGGTGAAGGCAATGCTGTGCTCACACACTCCTTGCTTTGCTTTGTATCTCCAATTGCTACTCTTGAAAACAGACTGGGCCTGGGGTGGGATAAGGAAGCGAGGTTCTTGTAAAAGGAGTAAAGAGAGTCCATGAAGATAGATGATCAAAGTGGTGCAAAGCTTCCCAGTCTCAGGACAATTGAAGACTCTTGTCCATGCTCTAAAGGGAAGGAGCTAGTCTCTCTGGAGAAAAAGCAGATTCCAAGGAGGGAGAGGTGATTGGGGCTGGGAGGAGCAGATAGCCATATGTCTCAGTCCCTGCCCAGGAAAGCGAGTCCACAGTTCACTAACAGTTATAACCACAAACAAGTAGCCATGAACACTATAGTCAGCAAACACACAGAGAGACGCATCACAGGAGTTGGAGAAACCTGCAGCCTGCAGTGGTGAGGCAAGAGATTAGTTGCATCATCAAGTTGAGGAATGGTGTTAGAAAGGACAGGGAAGGACATGGAGGGGGGGACACAGAAGTTCTTGGCTTCTCTTGGGGAAAGATTTGTTGTTGAAATGGCTGTTTTCTTAAGCATCAATATTTGCATCTAGAATCTCAAGCAGCTGGAGGGCTGCGCTTCATTTAGTTCTCTGCTTTCTAGAGCTCTGTTGCATTTGCAGTGATGAGGTTCTCCACCTGGGCTTCCTCCTCCCCTGGGATCCTGGGCTTCTGATTGAAACTGCACTTGCACCTGCAACCTAGGATAAGGAGGGTCCGAACAGAGAAGAGGACCACAGCACATACCAACTACCCAATCCTCAGGGTCTGGTAGTCATAATGAAAAGGGTCAATTTCCTTCTCCTCAGCTGCACTGGCCAGGACAATGAGGGCCAGCAGGCTGCATAGAAAGATCAGCACCACCTCCAAGGTGCTGGCACAGCCAGTTCCCTCTGAGACGATCCCAGAAGGATGTGTCCAGTCCCAAGGAGCCTGGGAGCGGCATATTCACAATCTCTTTAGGAATAGGATTATGCAAATTGAAAGAAGAGCAAACAATGTTACTGAAATAATCCACTGCATAATGGAACCTGAATGCATTAAGGAAATAATAGAATATTCACAAGTGTCAAGACCGTTCTTAAATGGAAAACATTAGGCCAGGCGTGGTGGCTCATGCCTGTAATCACAGCACTTTGGAGGCTGAAGTGGATGGATCATGAGCTCAGGAATTCGAGACCAGCCTGGCCAACATGGTGAAATCCCGTCTCTACTAACTACAAAAATGAGCTGGGTGTGGTGACGGGTGCCTGTAGTCCCAGCTACTCAGGACACTGAGGCAGGAGAATCACTTGAATCCAGGAGGTGACGGCTGCAGTGAGCTGAGATCACACCACTGCACTCCAGCCTGGGTGACAGAGCGAAATTTCATCTCAAAAATAAAACAAAAGACAAAAACAAAAAAAAAACAAGGAAAACATGATTTATGAACAGGAAAATAAACTGTGACTCGAAGTGATCATCATTATTGTACTTGCCATGGCTGTCTTCTGAAACACATCTCATACCTTGAATAATTTGATTCTTTTACATGGATGTTACTAAATGCTTTTCCAGCATGGGAACAAGTGGGATCATCATCAGTGGTTGTAAGGAAGGGAATAAAAATGAACAAAAATGTTACTTTTTTGGTCAGTGGACATTTCATTTTTTATTTTTATTTTAAACTTCAATGGCTTTTGGAGTATAAGTGGTTTTTGGTTGTGGATGAATTATAAAGTGGTAAATTCTGAGATTTTAGTGCATCTGTCACCTGAGTAGTGTACACACTGTATGTACCTAATGTGTGGTTCCTGGCCCCCTCCCGCCGCCCACGGAGTTTTGCCCTTTTTGCCGAGCCTGGAGTGCAGTGGTGCAATCTCAGCTCACTGTAACCTCCACCTTCTGGGTTTAAGTGATTCCCCTGCCTCAGCCTCCCAAATAGCTGTGACTGCCAAGTGTGCGCCACCACAACAGGCTAATTTTGTATTTTTAGTAGAGACGGGGTTTCACTGTGTTGGCCAGGCTGGTCTGGAATCCCTGTAAGTGATTCACCCACCTTAGCCTCCCAAAGTGCCGAGATTACAGGCGTGAGCCACCGCGCTTGGCCATGTATAGTTTTTAAAATTTCCGGTCTCCGTCCCATCCTCCCACTTGAGTTTCTACAGTCCATTATATCACTCTGTATGCCTCTGCGTACTCATAGCTTAGCTCCCACTTATGAGAACCTACGGTTTTTGGTTTTCCACTTCTGTGTTACCTAGGTCAGTGGACATTTAAAAAGTTATTGTGATCGGCAGGGCGGGGTGCCTCACGTCTGTAATCCCAGAACTTTGGGAAGCTGAGGCAGGCGGATCACGAGGTCAGCAGATCGAGACCATCCTGGCTAACACAGTGAAACCCCCTCTCGACTAAAAAATACAAAAAATCAGTCGGGCGTGGTGCTGCGCCTGGAGTTCCAGCTACTAGGGAGGCTGAGGCAGGATAATCGCTTGAACCCAGGAGGCAGAGGTTGCAGTGAGCCAAGATCGCACCAGTGCATTCCAGCCTGGGCTACAGAGCGAGACTCCGTTTCAAAAAAAAAAAAAAAAGTTATTGTGATCAAGAGATTCAACATGTACTCCTGAAGAATGAAAAATGCAGGTTTGCCATGAAAGATGGTAGTACGTGGTTTAACAAAATTTGAAGAGTAATTCCGAGTTATCTTTATGACAGTGTACAGGCTGGTAATGCTCATATCCAGCGTGTTTTCTCACTGTGAGCGTCCAACGGACCAGAACGAAGCAAGTGGAGGTAGTGCTGTTGCAGAGCTGCGGCGCCGCCGGAACCAACAGCATTTGGAGGAATTCCAATCCTGAATTCTGCCAAACGAGGAAGTGTTGAGGACAGCCAAATCATTAGGGAGATGTAATTCATGAGAAAACTTTGTAATTTAAATACTCATAATTTATTTCAGATAGATAAAACTGCAATAATGCACTTGCTGTATCTGGGAACGAACTCTACCCAATGCAGCTGAAACCTCAGGTCATTTCTAAAGGAGCCACCCGAGGACTTGTGGGAAATGTAGTGTGCACTTTCTGAGGGAGTGACGCGAGGACTTATGGGAAATGTAGTGTGCACTTTCCGGCCCCAATCGCGGGAGCCGCTCTGGGCCTTCTGCGCCCTGTAGCTCCAGGTTTGTTTTTCTTTTCATCAGCCTGCTATCTCCCGGCGACAGGGCAGAGAACGCGGTGGGTGAGTAGGGGAGGGCTGGGGCAAGTGTGGACTGGGGGTTCCGCGCGGTCTAAGGGCGGGAGAGCGAGGAGCGGCTTTGCCTCCTGGCCTGGGTCCGAATACTGCCTGAGTCGCACTCGTCCCGCGCCTGTGACGAGTGAGGTTGGGTTTTCTCCCCCCTGGGGTGAAGAATGCCCAGCAGGACTGCGCGGGAACGGGCCTTCTGCCCAGTAGATGCGCGCTTATCTCCTTATTCTTTCCCCTCAGAATCTCGCTGTTGCCTCCCAATCACCTGTGGTCAGCGTCGCTGCGTTGTCACCGCAACGCTGAGGCCAGCCGGGTGGCTGGAAGCGGATTCCACACCGAGGCTCTGCCCAGCGTCACCCGGCCTGCTGTGTCCTCGCAGGTTGCAGCTTCATGGCCTGACACCTCCAGGAAGTATTTTGAAGTCACCATGGCTGTGGATTGGGGGATTTGTTTCCACTGACAACGTGAGGTTGCGCACGTGGAGGGAGGCGCCCCTGGCCTTCCGGCACTGTCCAGCCTCACCTGTGTCCCCAGTAGTACCAGTGGGCATTTCCAGACGGTCTAGCTCGTGGCTCAAGTGACAGGAAGATGTAGGACCTTTCAGTCTTGGATGAGGATTCGAACTGAAGGACTTAGGTCCAGCTGTCTTGGAGCAAAGCAGCTGTTGTGAGGTAAGAAGGGAAAGGTGGGGATCAAGAGCCCAGGGGTCCTCCTAGGTCACCCGGCCAGTTGGGCTGAGGCCTCATTAGACATCTAAAGCAGGGTAGGAGGAGCAGAGGCTCAATTTGTGTCCCGTCCAGACTCCCACAGGCTGGTTAATGGTCGGAGCTTTGGGCCCACTCAGGGATGTGGCAGCAGAGGAGGGCAAGGTGGAAGGGGCAGACAGAGCCACTTCTTGGGGAGTTGTGAAGGCATCAGGCGGAGGGACAAGCTTAACAGCCAAGTGGAGGAGAGCACCCCCATGCCTGCATTCGTTACTCGCTTTATCCTGTTACGTTGCCGAGCTGCTAGCACACTGCAGCACAACTAGAGATAAACGGATGCCTCTTTCTTGATCTTGCAGAATCAGAGGTGCGGCCACAAGAAAGGTCTTAGAATTATCTATTTCAACTTTATTTTAAAAGATGGGGTGGCCTGGAGTGGGGTGGGGCAGACAGGAAATGAGCTTAACATGTTAAGTGACTGGTGACATTGACACATTTTGTTGTGGCAGAATCAAGAACAGACATTGAGTCGCTTGAAGACTCAGGCAGGTGTTTGCTGCATTGACAACAGAGTAAGTAAAAATCATTTTGGCTTTTTAAATCCAAAGATGGTTTTGAGAACCTGAAACCAAGTTAGAGCGAGTTCGTTTTCCTTCTAAAATAAAACTGGGCTGAAAAATACCACATCCCTTTTTTCAGAACGTTGTTGGGATTCTTTGGTTTATAATAAACATTAAAACCTGAGTATTTTTGTTTAGCATCAGTTTTCATGAAAGCATTATGTTTCCTTCTTTGGCTTTTCCTAACTTGCTTAATTAGTTTAATATGCTGGTTTGCACACTCTGTTAAGAGTACAGCATACATTGTTTTTAAGTCAGTAAAAAACAAACATTTTTACATTTGAAAACTAATGTGTCCGAGCAGTACGTAATCATGCCAGAGTCATGCATGACATGAGTATCTCCTTTTCAGAGATGTTTTGCCAGCTGTGAAGTGGACCTTTTCAGGCAAGTGACATCTCTCATGATCTTTTCTTATTTCTCAACTACGCCCTCACAGTTTTCTCTGCTGTTCCAACACCTGTGGAAGATGATCACAGCCCAGGTAAATTATTATTATTATTTTTTATAATTTTGCTTAAAAGTAATTATTGAGATTTAAAAATTGTCTGTATATTCATATGAAAGCAGAAATGACGTCAGGGAAAATATGGAGGAGAGGTCACATTACAGTTCATGTGTCAAATGCAGCCTGCTGCCTGTTTTTTTATGGTCCACAAATGAAGGATGGTTTTATATTTTTATGTGGCTGAGGGGAAAAAAATCAAGCGTATTATTTTGCTTGGAAATGATGTGAAATTCAGTCTTCAGTGTCTATAAAGTTTTACTGGGACTCAGTCATACTCATGCATTTATCTACTGTCTGTGGGTACGTTCACCTTACCAGGTCAGAATTGACTGGCTGCAGCAGAGACTGTAATGGCTCACAAGCCTAAAATATTTACTGTGTGACCCTTTACAGAAAATGTTTGCTGATTTCTGATAGACAGTTGATGAAGAGTAGGACAAAAATGCCATGTAGGTGAATGCAGATCTTGTGATCTCACTGAGTAGTGAAACTGGAACATAAAACAGTTTGTTAATGGGATTTATTAGGTGACATTGTGAACCTTCTGATAACAATCGCAATTACATAAAAAAGTAGTACAACAAAGTGAATAATTCATGTGCAGTCCAGGGGAAAACTTAAGAGACAGCAAGAGAAAGTATGTGAATAAAAAATTCAAATGAATTGTGTAGCATTAGGACTCATGGTTGTTTAAAGAAACAGGCCTGGTAGGGTAGGGAGATCATGGGTTGTTAGGATGTGGCAGGCTTTGCGACAGCCCTACAGACTGGGCAGAACTAGAATGTTTGCAAAAACTTTCGAGGGATTTTACCTAAAAAAAAAAATTATGGTAAAGTACACATCACATGAAATTCACTATTTAGCCATTTTAAAGTATATAATTCAGTTACTTTAGTACATTCACAATGTTATACAACCACAGCCACCATTTATTTCTGGAATATTTTCATCACACCAAAAGGAAACACAGTGCCCTTAGTAAGCAGTATTGGAACTTAATACAGTTGCTCCCTTTTTCCCCTCTCCTCCCAGCCCCTAGCAACCAATAATCTGTTTTCTGTCTTATAGATTTGCCTATTTTGGATATGGCATATAAATGGAATCGTATAATTTGTAGCTTTTTGTCTCTGCTCTCTCACTTAGAATAAGGTTTTCAAGACCCATTTCTGTTGTAGTTGCGTATCAGTAATTTTTCTCGTTTTATGGCTGAACAATATTCTGTTGTATGGCTATACCACCTTTTGTTTATCCATTCATCAGCTGATGTACATTGAGGGTCATCCTGTGTTTGGCTATTGTGAATAGTGCTCCTATGAACATTCATGTACAAATATTTGTTTGAACACATTTTTAGTTATTTTGGGTGTATACTAGGAGTGAAATTGCTGAGTTATATGGTAATTGTACATTTAATTTATTGTGAAACCAACAGTTTTCCCCAGCAGAGTGCTTTGCAATCCACAGGAATTTTTAGTTAGCTTTTCAATTTCTGCAAAACAAGTATGTTGAGTTTTTGATAAGTATTGCACTGGATAAGTGTTGGAGTGGGTGATAGCACTTTGGGGAGTGTTATTTTAATATTAAATGTTATCATCCATGAACATGTGATTTTTTTCCCCTAGGTCTTCTTTCCTTCATTAATGTTTTATAGTTTTCAGTGCACAAGTGTTGCATATCTTTCCTTAAATTTATTAAATATTTTCATTTAAATGCTATTGTAAGTGGAACTTTTTATTTGCTTTTTGGCTGCTCACTGTAATTAGTACACAACTAATTTTTGAGTGTTGATCTTGTATCCTGTAATTTTGCTGAATTTGTTTCTACTTCTAGTAGTTCCTTTGTGGATTGTTTAGTATTTTCTGCATATAAGATCATGTCATCTGCAAACAAAAATAGTTTTATTTTCTTTCCAATTTTGGTTTATTTATTTAGCCTAATTGCTCTGGCTGGAATTTTTATTACAATGTTGAATATGTGTGGCCAAAGCAGGCATCTTTATTTTTTGTTAGTTTGTTTTCACCATCTTAACTATTTTTGGATGTACAATTCAGAAGCAGTGTCAAGTATATTAATATTGTAAATCTAATCTCCAGAACTTTTTCATCTTGGGAAACTGAAATTCTGTATCCATTAAACAATAACTCCCCATTTTTCCCTCCTCCTTACTCTTAGCAACCACCATCTTACTTTCTGTTTCTGAGTTTCATTACTTTTGCTGTATCTCATATAAGTGAAATCATACAGTATTTGTCCTATTGTGGCTGGCTTCTTTCATCTAGCATAATATCCTCAAGCTTCCTCAGTGGTGTAGCATGTGTCAGAATTTATCTCTTTTTTAAGGTTGAATGATATTTCATTGTACCCATGTTTTGTTTATTCATTCATCTGTCAGAGGACATTTGGGTTCCTTCCTCCTTTTGACTGTTGTGAATTATGCTGCTGTGAACATGGGTGTACAAATATTTCTTTGAGATCCTTCTTTCAGTTCTTTTGGTTATATACTCAGAAGTAGTATGGCTGGAACCTATGGTAATTCTGTTTTTAATTTCTTGAGGAAACACAAACCTGTTTTCTACAAAAGGCGCACCATTTTACAGTCCCACCTTCAGTGTACAGGATTCTGATTTCTCCATATCCTTGCCAACACTCATTATTTTCTTTTGTTATTGTGACAGCAGCCATTGTAATGGGTGTAAGGTGATTTTTCATAGTAGTTTTGATTTGTATTTTCCTAATGATTAGTGATGTTGAGCATATTTTCTTTTTCTTTCTTTTTTGAAATGAAGTCTCACTCTGTCGCCCAGGGTGGAGTGCAGTGGCACAATCTTGGCTCACTGCAACCTCCACCTCCCAGGTTCAGGCAATTCTCCTGCCTCAGCTTCCTGAGTAGCTGGGATTACAGCATGCACCACCACGCCCAGCTACATTTTTTTGTACTTTTAGTAGAGACGGGGTTTCACCTTGTTGGCCAGCATGGTCTTGATCTCTTGACCTCGTGATCTGCCCGCCTTGGCCTCCCAAAGTGTTGGGATTACAGGCGTGAGACAGAGTTACTTTTTTTTTT